GAATAAGTTGCTTATGGTATTTTAGCTTGTTATGGTCTCACAGAATTAGTCAATGAGGTTTTATTGACCAGTTTTTTATCCTTATATATCTTCTTACTGTATTTGTATCTTGATAAAACTTGAGTAATTGCCAACCATTTTTTTAATTCCCTCACCCTTATCTTTTGCCTTGTAAATTAATTTCCTTAGTTACTTTAAAACTTGTTATTCAGTGTTTGTAATAGTAAAAGTAACAACAGGAGAAAATGGAATAAGGTCAGTTTTTTTTCAGAAGAGACATCTCAGAATGCAAAACAAACTATTATTTGGATATTGATTCTTAGATATTTTTAATTGCATCTGGAATTAATTGATGGAATTTACTATTTTATGAAAAGCTGAGATAATCTCCCTTTTAAAAATTAAAGGGGACACATAGCTGGCAAGCTCTTCATCCTGAATGATAAGGGAAATAGAAGAAATTAATAGGAAAGTAGAAAAGCTATCTCTGACACCTCCTAGGAAATGGAAACAGTAGTAGTATTTAATACTCATGAACCATAGTAGTTATGCACACTAAACAATACTGTTTGGTGTGGAATAGTTCTACTGGTTGAAATTCTGTTTGTAAAAAGTGTGATGGAGATGGGTGTGGTAGTGTTTAGCAACAGATGTAATTGGCTGCAGGTAGTTTCATCTAACCTTTCCCTGTGTTTGTTACCTTCTGCAAGACTTCCAGGCCTGAACCTCCTAGGGGCTTTCCCAGGAGTACTGTATTTTGGTACTGTTTCCATCCACTTCCTCTTATCATGGAATTTGTGTACAAACTCAAGATGTTTTAGAACGCAGATTGCAGAACAGCTAACCCCAGATTCATTCTGAGATTCTGTGTAGAGCAGAGCTTCTAATCTGAGTGACTTAAATAGCCCTCTGAATATTTTAAGTTGTAAATATAAGATTTTGTCTATTGTGAGGACTTACTTCACTGTGCTCTGGCTACAAAACTTATCCTGAGAAAAATACTTTATTATTTAGGTTCCATCAATTCTTTTCCTTTTACTAGTAGACTCTTTATGGCACAGAATATAAAAGTTTTGAGAAAAAAATGAAACTGAAATTATTTAAATAAACTTAGGGATCACTTTTCCACAAACCATGTTTTATGGTTGCCATTAATATCCCTGTAGAATTCCTGTAACTGGAAGAAGCAGCATGTGAATCCAGGAATTTAAAAGAAAGTAATGTGCAGGAAGAATCTAGAGTTTCAAACAGCTTTCACACCTTAGAAGAGTATATTTAGCTGTCATTTTAGGTTTGCCATTTCATTTGCAGAGGGGAAGGTGACCCACTCTGTTTGTAACTGACTGGAAGCTATGTCTGCAGAACATGCAGCAGCGACAAACAAGGCTGTTTTGCCCAGATCTGACTTGGATCCAAAAGCTAAGTGATCAATGCGCTACTTTGGGTGACTGCCAGGAAGCAATAATTGTCTTTGTTAGCAGTCCTGGTCTTTAAAAGCTTTATTCTAAAAGCAATAACCTAGTCAATCTTTCTCAGAAACACTGAATTATATTAAAAAATAGCATGAATATTCGTGTGTCTCTCTGCATATATAAGTATTACACAAAAGCCCTTGTGTTTGCATATATATCAATTCTCTTGAACAAATTATAAGTGTTTTACATATTATTACAGAAGACCAAAAGAAAGGAAAATATATTTTATTAGAATGACAAGTAGGAGAAGGAGGCACAGACAGGTGTTTAGTCCAACTATTTCTTCCAGATTAAAGTTCTTGTTCTTCTGAATGCTAATGTGTGCGCTTATGCTACCAGAATGTGTTGCAAGAAAAATGCTATCACTTCAATTTCATTATTTTCTCCTGCTGTGACTAGCTCTTAATGTTAAACATTTAGTATCCTTCTTGTGATCAGCACTATTGCAAATATATGGAGCAAGACTAAGCAAAAATATATAAAAGTTAACTTGTAACAGGAAATTAGTTGTTATTCTCTTGTAGTTTTCTTTATATGCCATAAGCTTTTCCTGAGGACTGATCCATAATAACACACACCTTCCCTATGGTGGTCCTGTGCTCTAGCTTTAACTTAAAGGACAGCTATAAAAACTGTTCTGACAAGCCTGTATTAGTTATGATGCACTGTTCAGATTGTTCATGAAATGCACCTGTTACTGTGCATAACAAATGGAGCTGTCAAGCATGGTGAGATTTTATTGTGTTTAGTCCTGTTAGCTGAACTGTCTTGGACTGACTTGTTTACTCCAAAAACACTCCAACTTGTATACTCCAACAACTTCCAAAATAAATGGGTTTCAACTACATAAGTGAGTAAAAGCTGATGTGGTTATGTCTGTGCTAAAGCTTGTAAGAGGCAAAAAATGTCATTTTGCCATTTTTGTGTTATTGAACTGATGATGAAGTAAGCCATATTAAAGAAAGATGACACTTGTTAAACTACTTTTTAATATTTGCTTTAGGAAAAGCACGCTCTTGATATGGGAGATTTGGAATGACAAGGTAGTTAGGAGGAGGATGATTCTGCTATTCAGGAATGCAAAGAATTGCTTCCAGTAAGGCTATTCCACAAAAATGCTGAAGCTGTTGCTGTATTTAGAGGAAAAAAAATTATTTCCTGTGAACTGAATCTGAAATATATGAGATGTCCACTTTATCTAAAAGGGACTGTTTCATTTGTGTCATGTTGGTGCTAGTTCTGTTAAACATTTCCTTAATCAGGCTTTTGGGAAACTTGTCTCCGAGCATGTTTATATTCAGCAAGTTGCTGAAGTCTGTAGTTGCATTTGTGAAGTTGGGTAATTTACTACTTTCATGACAGTCTAGCTGCTGAGCAAATGGTTTATAGTGATTTATTGGTTAGAGTAGAGGAATTGGCTTGGGCAGGAGAACTACAAAATGGTCAATCTGTTTTCATAACCTCACTTCTGAAACAATGATAGATGGGCAGTATTGTTAAAACCATGAATGGTAGGTAGAACTGTTTTGCACGGTTTTGCACAGATTTAACTGTGTTAAATCCTGTGATACTGGATTGAGAATAATTCAGAAATCATTCTGGGGATTGGGGAAGGAAGCTGGGAATACATATGATGGTTACATAGGCTGTCTGTTACTGGCAAAGCTTGGAATGTCTTTCTGTTGGGTTGTTCCTGACCTGTAACTAAGAATGCACCAGCTGTTCACTCACTCTCCTCTCCTCTTCCAGTGGCATCGGAGGAGAGATTTAGAAGAACAAAAGTGAGAAAAACTTAGATTGTAATAAAGGCAGTTTAAAAATGAAGGAAATAAATGAACAAGTGTTGCAAAGTCAGTGGCACACCTTATCCCACCAGTAGACCAAGCCAGCCCCAAAGGAAATATTAAATGCTCAGATTTTATTGCTGGGCACAACATTGTATGGCAAGAAATATCCATTTAATGAATTCTGGTCAACTATCCCATCTCTGTTCACTCCAAGCATCTTTCTCAATCGTAGACTACCTCCTGAGGGTGCAGAGTGAAAAACAGAAAAGGCCTTGATTGCTCTCCCTTGTCAGCAGGAGCTGAAACATTGGAATGCTACTGACATACTTTGGTCACAGATACAGGGAACAAAACCATAATAGCTGCTAGGAAAAGTTCTAGCTGGATCCACTACAATATTCTGCAGTATCTAAGAGAATAAAAATACATTAAAATAATTTTTGAACATCTGTAGAGATCAGTGTCAGTGAAATTTGGGATACTGAGAAGATGGCATTTGAGTATGGATAGTGTTCAGTTTATACTCTTGGCAAAATAAGATAGAGTGTTTGCTTCCTAAGAATACTCATTCTGTTCCAGACCATTGTTTATGAATAATACACGTGCTATTTTTCTGTACAATTTTGAACTGGAGAATTGTATAAAATATCAATTGTCTGATGTGTAATAGGTCTTACTTGTTTTTTCTTTATTTTTCAGTTGAGTGAAGACTTTCAAATTTTCAATGTGGCACATAAGACAGGGTCTTTTGTTCAGAATCAGGGTCTTTTATTCTTCAGATTATTTTTTCCAGTATCTGTGATGTTTCAGATAAAGAGAAGGAAGCTATGAATATAAGCCTTGTCTTTATTTGTCAGCTGAAGTGACTTAAAAAGTTGTTTATATAGTTTGCCTGTTAAGGAAAACATTAAGATGGTTAACTCAAATAATCTTTCAAATGCAACACTGTAATATTTCACTGTGCATTACTATTAACACTTCTGTGTGTTTGCATCAACCACCACAATTAAGTGAGAAAGTAGGAGTTTGTTCTTAATGTCCAATTTTTATTTAGATAGCTGTGTCAAATGCTTGCTCCATGTCTATAATATGTGGTTACCTCTGAATTTCATCACCTTCATCTAATACGAGTTTAAGTAACTGAAAGTTACAGTTTCAATAAGCTAAAGATTTCAACTCTCAGACATTTATTTAGCAAATTTTCATGTCCACTCAGGAGTAGTGTGAGTAAAAGTTAAATACCCACAAGCTTTTTTCCAAATTATGCACATCTGAAAATTTTAGGTTGCCCAAGTAGCCGTAGTAAGGATAACTTGGGGTGAATAGATATCTGTAGCTGTAAGTAGCTTAGAGTAAGGGTAAATAGAAATGGCTTTGTGTCTTGCTTCTCTGATTAGTGAAAGGCTGTCCCCAGGAGTTGTCATAGCAGCTGTGTTTCTCATCTAAACAGTGTTGTATCCTTGTGCATACAAGTCTTGCCATTGACTATCAGTCCTGTTAATGGAGTGCTTAGGGAGGCCGACCAGGTTCCCACTTGACCTTAACTGAAAGTGTTAGTATAGGTATACTTTGGGTCTTTTTGTTTGGTTGGTTGTGAGCTTTTTTTACTAGTGACTGGAATAGATTTGTCCTAGATAGGAAAGTTGGATATTTTTTATGTGTTTTATTTTAGCCCATTTTAGCCTGCTCTTTGGCTTGATTATGAAAAGTAATTTTTTAAATCACTTTTGCCTTCTAGGTTAATCTTCGAGCCACTGATGTGAAACTTATGCGCCAGCTCCTACTCATCAATGAAAGTATTGAATCAATCAAGTGGATGATTGAAGAGAAAGCCATTGCCAGCAGAGGCAGCAGTTTGAGTGGAAGCCTGTGCAGCTTGCTAGAAAGTCAGGAGACATCCCTCCATGGCAGCTGTAACAGTTTGCAAGACTGTAGTGATGGACTGGATGGAATATCAGTGGGGAGTTACTTGGACACCTTAGTGGATGATGTCCCTGGTCACCAAACTCCTTCAGATATGGACAAGTTCAGTGATTCTTCTGTCACAGAGGACTCACAGTCTCTGCATAAGCATCCCAAAATTGATTCTGATGAGTACTACTGTTTTGGTTAATAAGAACAAGTTCCAGTGGGACACAAATGCACTTGTACTTACTCTTTTTCTTTGCTGCTATTTTATTTCATATGCAAAACCCCCAAAGTCCTTTTGGAAGGAGAATATGATACTTCAATTCTATTGCATAACTTTTCTATTTCTTCTAATGCATTTTGTCCTTGATGTATTGGGCTTGTCTCATCCTCACATTTTCTTAATTTATTGTCACAATTTTTTTTGTTTTAATTTTTTACAATGCTGTATTCACAAGTCTGTAAAAGTGGTCAAGGAAAAGCTTTATCTTTAAAATGAAACATCAGGGAATGAGTAACAATTTTGTATTTGTTGTTAATAAAGCATCTTCTAATAAATATATGTTGTCATAAATTTTCTTGACTACCACATCTGGCCTTTCCAAAGAGAATGTTCTTATTGAGCCTTAAATCTGAATCTTGAAAATACCTCTACAAAATAATTTTCCTTTTCTAAGCAATGAAATTTGATTCTGTTAAGCTGTCTTCATTTGAAATATAAAGCATTCTAAACTTTTCTGTGTGGGATTTCTTTAATTTTGCAATATTCTCTTGTCTCTAGCCTAAATTTGATGTTAAATTCTGATTCTAAATGGTTGTGTTTTTGTTTTTTTTTTCTTTTTAATTCAGCAGTGTTGCCCTGCTGTCTTTTCCTTTCCTGTTTTACGAGTTTGCCTTAACATTTTTGTATCTACTAGTGCAGTTAAGACCTGCAGCTTAATCAGTTACGTTGGAAGTAGCTGAGAAGTAAAACAGTAACTGTTTCATGTAGTGCCTCTGTTTTTGAGGCTGCCCTGGTCCCTGCTTTTGTGAAGATTAGATGGTAGGTTTTTCTTTTAAGTGCTTCAGAATCATAAGAAACCCCCCAAGATTTTATCCTTCTACAGTAAGAAGAAAATTAGAGTAAAATAACTAAAATTTAACTAGACACCCTAGCAGATGATGAATCTGTATTTCCAGCGTACAAACATTGAAAGAGGTATTGCTACTTACACATCATTTAAAAGTGTTCTGTTTCACCAAGTTTGAAAGTATTCCCATTGCCAGTGAAAGCATGAAATTCCCTTGTTAAAGTAAAGTTTACTAAGTGTAAGGTAGGCTCCCATTTAAAAACTATTGTAAACTTTCTGAAGGATTACATGTACTTGCAGCAGTTGATGTATGTGGATTTAGTTCATTCCGAGATAGTCCAATGGGGTTCTGTTCATTCAAGCCATGTTTCTAGGGATCCATCTTGTACAGTCTTGAGCAACATCTAGTGTAAAGAAATGGTAAAAAATCAAGAAATTTGAAGTGGTAATTTGTGCTTTGTGACCAATTCCATCACTCTTCAGTACAGATATCTCTGTCTCTCAGAATTAAAAACCAAGATGTATACTTTTCTTTGGTCATCATGATAGAGAATTTGGAAAAATATATTGACTGGGAATTCAAAATATATTGTATTATTTTCAGTTATTTTAATCTAGGGAACAGACCTAACTCCCTGATATAAAACTGTGACTCTCTTGAAAATTTTTCTACTTTATTGTTTGGCATAGAAGTTGAACATCAGGAAGTATACACTCTCTAAATCAAATGTGAATGTGCAATATACAGTCTTTCCTTCTCCGACTGAGATTTTGGGCAGCAGGCCAACAACATAAAATTTTTTCACTATGAAGAAAATCAAAGAATATTCTTAACATAGCTTCTCAAATATCAAACTATGCTGGAATTACTTGAAGGAAAATACAGGCTGTATCTGTCACCTACTCACTCCCAGCTGTAGCTCTGGATAAAGAGTAATGTAATCAGTGATAGATTTATCACATGATGATTTAAAAGTCCATTTAAATGGAATTCCATGATAGTGAAACAAAAAGCCTACTAGTAGAAGCAGTAAAGCAAGAGCTGTATGTGGTTGGAAGCTTTTATTTCTCTATATCTCTTGACTGGTAGTGGGGAAAGAGTACAATGCCAAAACAAAGATGTCAGAAGACTCCTAGAAGGAAACAAGTGTTTCCAGGTGTTGGGATTCTGATATCAAAGAACATGAACATCTTGGTTTTGATTTCTGAAACATAAGAGCTTCAAAGATTTAGAGTGACTTGTATTTCTTAATTGGAATTAACAGGATTTCATAGTCAAAAGATAATTATATACTCTTGTCTTGCCACTTAAAGACAGACCATGAAATTTGAACATCTCCTAAAATTAATCAAATAATTTTAAAGTGAACTACAACTTGACTGTTTAGACAATGGAAAATCCAATGTTCATTAAACAACTATTCCTATTGGCTTGTTAACTTTGTTTTTAAAAAGTTTACATTTTTTTCCAGCTTCCTCTTTAGCTGGTTGACTTTATTCTCGTGAAGTTCTTGTGTGGCATAAAGGAATCTGGATGCCTTCTTCCAGCATGGACTTCCTTTTAGCTTTTGATCTATTTCCAGAGCTAAAAAAATAAAATTATTGAGTACAATAGGGCAAAGTATATGAAAGCACAAAACTATGTCTTTCAAATGTATAAAAAAGCAAGAGAATTTTTTTAAAAGGCATGGATGCGTAGTAAATGTTATTCATTTATTCTTTGTCATTTTTTATCACCTTAGCTCTTTTGAGACTTAGCTTGCTTTAGGAATGACAAACAGTTTCAAGACACTTTGTAAAATCACAGGTGATGAGCAACACCCAGCCCATTCCTGTTTCTATACCACTGACTGACGTTTTGTCTTTGAAAGGCATTCTGCTATGTAAGCTGTGTAATTCAGAGATAATAAAGGACACTCAAAAATAAGGTAAATTTAGTACACTTTCTGTTTTAGGATGATTGTTTCCTGCTAATTGGAGCCAGCTAGTAAATGGATGTGCTCTGGTCCACAAAAAACCTATTGAAGGTGGTGGGGGGAAACCTAGCATTTTCTCATCTGAAAACTCGGACTTTGAAGATTCTGCCAAGGCAGTCTTGTTACAACATTTTGAGGCACTTTCAAAGGACCAATTAAAATTCTTTGAAATCTCCCTGCTAGCTGCCAAGTCTAGTATTGATCTCAAGGTTGCATTGGCTCATGAAGAACCAAGCAGGAGCTCTTGAATCATCCATCAGGAGGCCAGAGACCAAAGAGAGAAAAGCTTCTCTGCCTTCAGAAGGTGAACTATCATTGTCCTATAATAGAAACAAGATTCCTATAAAATACAGAAATTTGGTGTATCTTCTTAAAGCAAACCCTGACTTTTGAAGAGAGTGGTAAAATGGTGGAAGTTCAAATGCTGTTGAATCATTTGAAGTCTAAAAAATCTCTGTATTTCTCTTTGAAAAAGAAAACTGGTTAGTCAAGGTGGGTGAAGTGAAGTCTGAAATAATGTCTGGTAGCTGCATCTCATATAATCCTATGTAATCGACTGAGAAACTGAGAAGGTTTTGCTTCATAATCTTAAGCAGTTACTAAGCTGTTGAAAAAGCTTGTGCTAGTATTTTTCATCTTGCCAAAACTTGTGAACTAAGTCTAAAAGATGTGTCTTTGACATAAAGAATTAGCATATACTAAATACCAAATACACATGAGATCACTAGAAAGCATCAATCACCTTACAGCAAAGGAAGCTTTGTTTCACTTTAAATGTACTTACAGCAAGTTTGTCTTTCTCAGAATACCTATGAATTTACTATAGAAACAGTTTAAGAGCATGTGACCCTGAAACAAACAGAAGCCTTTCCCTTACATAAATTAAAAAGAGATTAATGCTGCCTGCACTTGACCCTCCCATTGGCCAGAGATTAAATTTCCCTATGAATTATGTCTGGAGTGAAAATAAAACAATTTCTTTCTCCCCACTATGGAATTTTCTATGCTATAGCATACCAACAATTGGCTAAGCAATCTTTATGGAGTCTCCTTAAAACCTTGCTCTTCCAGCAAATATGTCTGGTCTTCCAAAGTGATATTTCCTTATAATCTTACTTGGTTATGTTGATTAGATCTCAAAAGATGGATGTTTGACAAGGTACACATGATACAAATACCTAATAATAAATACCAGTAACAAAGGTTTTGTTTAGGACAGGTAGGGAAAGGTTGTTCTTGGTTTGTAGATGTTTTTTTTCCTGTGTTTCTTTTTTCTTTTTCAAGAGCTGGCTGCTAAAATCAAGTTGGTGCTCTTGAGCAATTTTGAAGTTTTTCCCCCATTTTTTAACATACATACAAAAAGAGAGCATCAAGCTTGAGCCCAAAGGTTTGAAATCATGCTTTTACTTGTGAACACTTATCCTCAGAGCAAATTTGTTAGTAATGCTGGGTCCAAAATTTTATGGCTAACAGAGAAAACATACGTTTAAATCCTTTCACACAATGACCCCATTGCTCATCTTCTGGAAAACTGTAAGACGATGGAAACCTTTCAAATATAAAAAGGATACTGCTTTAATTTTTGAAGGAAAGTGTTATTGTTAGAATACAGTAAATTGAGGGTTATGAACTATGAATTCAAAGAACAAAGTATTCAACAAAAGTAAAAATGTTTTTATGTTAGATCTGTATTGTAATACCTTGTGTTTCTCTTCAATGTTGTTGGAAACTGTATGTTCAATTCATGTTTTATCCCCAAATAATAAAAAACAGTTTACTTTTCTCAGATGGTATTATGTGAGGCTTTTTCAGAACTATTTAATGTTGTAAAAGCATTAAACAATGCATGAAATATTGAATTAAAAATAGGTTTTTAACATTTAGAAATTATTGCTCTATTTTTTTTTAATATGGCCATTGCTACTGGTCTCATTTTAAAGAAAGAAAATTTCTTTTTGTCTCTAAAAATACTATCTTATTTGCATTTTAAGTGAATTTCCAAAAACCAACTCTACAGAGTAAAGAGAACAATAAATGCTATCTGTGAGATAAGTTGTAGAAAATCACTTGGTTAATTCTTTGTTCAATTTTTACTGTCAGAAGTATTCCCATCATGTTACTGTGTGGATGTCTAAATAATAGCATATATCTTATCAGGCAAATCAGAGTTATGCAATACAGCATAAAGAAGTATTTGTAATGTGATAGTACAGCCTTTTTCGGGGAAAAAAGTACAAAACAAACAACCACAAAAAAAAAAGAAAAAAAAGAGAGAGAAAGGCAAACCAAAGACATATCTCTAGGAAAGGAAGGGAGACACTAGCAGAACAGTTATCAATACACCTAGTGCTCTGTGCATCAAAATTGTAGGGAATCTCAATGTTACAGACAGATCTGACCCTATGGCCAGGCTTGCAGGAGGCAACCTAAATACTTCCTCTGCATTTTCATTTTGCTGAATTCTATCTAAAAGCGTTTGTTATACAAGGAAAAAAAAATATGAACCTGGTGTTTTGGAGTCTGGCTTTCCAGATTGCTTATTCTGTCCTTAAGACATACTGATTTTTGGGGAACTGTTCAAATCTTTGAAGAAAAACTGCTACAGTTATATTAAAGTAGTGCATGAATATAAAAAGCTGTTTAACAGTAGTTAATATTTATTTTTCCCCTACTGATTTTCTGAGAC